GCGGGGGTGGGGTCGGGATGGAAAATGGACCTCTTGTGGAAGTGGATTCTCTCTTGGACAGCACGTACTGCTCCGTGGTGCAGAACCTGAACGGGAATCTGGCTCCGAAGGATGAGGCGCCGGGTTCGAGGGCGGGAATYGGGACGAGCCTGGGGCTGTCTGGCGTCAGCATAGAGGAGGATGGAAACATGGGTCCTCTCATCACATTAGCTGATGACAAAGACAGTGTTCCAAGCAACAATGGATTCCTGTTCAGCAAGGTAGGAGGAAGGATATTATTGTCGCTGATTAATTAAAACTGTGCAGCCCATCCCTCCCCTGCTGACCTAGAATAAATTCACCAATCTGTCTTCGTCTCTGTTGTCTATCCTTTCWGCTTTCCTCAAATCAAAAATAGACTCATCTGCTGTTCTTTCTTAATGTCCTAATGCTGCTCTGGTTTGGACTGCCTCATTCATCTCACTCAGGTTGATGAGAAACTGCTTCCAGCTCTGGCAGCAACAGACCCCCTCGTGCTGCCCGGTCCAGACCAGCCCACTTCGTCGAGCGCCGTCCCCCCTCACTCCAGCACCAGCGCCAGCGATGACCTCAGCCTGCTGGCCCACATGACCAGCTGTGGCTCGGATCTGACCCAGAGCCACGCTGCCGGCGAGCTTCCAGAGGACGGGCCGTTCAAGATCCAGAGCTCTCTCGCTGACATCAGCTCCATYGCCGAGAGCCAGACCCAGCTCCAAGGAGCGCCGAGACCAGATTTCCCAGAGGGAGAGGGCACRACCGGGGCAGAGGGGGAGTCTGTGGGATTTAAGACCGGAGGGGACACGGCAAGCACTACTTCTGATACAGAGAGGTCAGATGATGGCAAGGATAAGGACATAAAGAAGATTCAAACTACTGCAACAACACAGGTTTGTTTGTGGTTTTGAACTCTTCACTACATTTAATGTCCACAAYATGTTCAATGAAAGTGACACTTAAAAAATACAAAAATTAGGAATTATTTAGAGATTACAGAGCTCGTCTCGTGACCACAAGACAATTGTTGCAGTCATTTTATTATACAGACTGTGGATTAATAGAAAACATTGGATTAATTCTATTTTATTTTTGATACAAGAATGAATAAGTAATTA